TGTCTAATTGAGTTTAAATTTAAAAAATAAAATAAATAAAATCTTAAAAGAATTTTTTTTCATGAGTCAATATTTGTGCCTGACCCTTAGTCCCTTAATGTATTTGTAAAATAAATAGGAGGAATTGGTGGGAGGGGAGGGGTAATGGCTAGAGGGACAGAAAAATCAATGTTCAGAAGATAAGGAGCTGGAAAGATAGGGGGATAAGAACAAGGAGAAAAGGGCGCCTGGGTGGCTCAGTTGGTTAAGCGACTGCCTTCGGCTCAGGTCATGATCCTGGAGTCCCGGGATCGAGTTCCGCATCGGGCTCCCTGCTCGACAGGGAGTCTGCTTCTCCCTCTGACCCTCCCCCCTCTCATGTGCTCTCTCTCCTCTCATCCTCTCTCTCAAATAAATAAATAAAATCTTTAAAAAAACAAAAAAACAACAAGGAGAAAAGACAGGCAGGTCGGAGGAACATACCCTGAATGCTCCAAAGGCTTTAGGAGACAATAGGAGAAAGAAAACAAGATGGCGGCCAGAAAGTTGAGGGACTCTTGGATTGTTCTTCCCCAGGGACCCAGGGCTTGTGGCCTGGCTTCCTTCAGCGATCTGCTCAAACATCTTCAGAGAATCCGTCCTGGATCCTCTGTTGAAAACAGCCCCTGTCATTTTCTAGACCCTAAACAGCTTTTTTTTTTTTTTTAAGTAAGCTCTATGCTCAATGTGGGGCTCGAACTCACGACCCCGAGTTCAAGAGTCACAGTCTCCACTGACTGAGCCAGCTGGGTGCCCTGACTTTATTTTTCTTCATAGCCTTTATCACCACCAAAAATGCTAGTATATACAGTCGATTCTATTATTCAAGGCAGTTAAGGTCTACAAAATTTCAGTGAATACTTTATTAATGAATATTCATCCATTGCTCCCACGGGAAATAGGTGCCTATTATATAGTAATGTGTAAATGCGATGGACTAAATGTGTCCCCCACACCCCCCAAATTCATGTGTTGAAATCCTAACCTTCAGTGTGATGGCATTTGGAGGTGCGGTCTATGGGAGGGGATTTTTAAGTTGCGAGGATGGACCCCTCATGAATGGGATTACTGCACTTAGAAAAGAGACCCCAGAGATCCCCTTGTCCTTTCCACCCTCACCAGACACGAATCTGCTGGCACCTTGACCTTGGCTTCCCAGCCTCCAAAACTGTGAGAGATAAACATTTGTTGCTTGAGCTCTCCCCGGCCGTGGGATTTCTGTTCTAGCAGCCCAAACAGACTAAGACACTCTCTATTTGTCTGCTTGTAGACATGTATATACATATACTCTATAGCTATCTGCATATCAGATTAGAGTCTTAAATCCTCAAAACAATTCCAATGGGGAGACTCTATTTTATTTATTTTCCAAACAAGGAAACAAGGCTCAGAGGTGTTAAGCCATTAGCTGGAGGCCAGAGCTGGGGATGCTAACCCATCCAGCTGGCTCCAGGGCAGAGCCACACCTTGTTTGACTTCCACTGGGAACAAGTGCTTCAGGCAACTGGGGATTTTTCTTGCCACTTTCTCTCCCTGCAAATCCGCAAAACACCTGGAAAGCAGTGAGTACTGAGGCTATTTTGTGTGTGAGTTGGTGATTTCACGAATACGGAAACCACCAACGGGGAGGCTTAACTGTATCCTTTCTTGTCTATTTCCTTACTCCAGCATGTGAATCCCAAGAAGACAAGAATGTTTTTGTCTCTTTCATTCACTGCTCATTGCCCAGTCCCCAGGAAAGAACTTGGGACATAGTAGGTGCTCAGTAAATATCTCTTGAATGTACAAAGAACACAGAAAGAATGAACTAGTACTCGCCATCTCTTTGATCCTTACAACAATATACGGAGGAAAATGCAGCCCAGAGAGGGTGAGCCACTTGCTTAAAGTTGCCCAGCCAATAAGTGTGTGTGTGGGGGGGGTAGTAGTGGGGGGTGTCTCTCTTAGCACAGCCTTGCTGTGTGATCTCAGTACAGACAGTTCACCCCTCTGAGCCCTGGTTTACCAGCATGAGAGATTCTTTTTTTTTTTTTTTAAGATTTTATCCATTTGACAGAGAGAGACATAGCGAGAGAGGGAACACAAGTAGGGGGAGTGGGAGAGGGAGAAGCAGGCTTCCCGCGGAGCAGGGAGCCTGATGCGGGGCTCGATCCCAGGACCCTGGGACCATGACCTGAGCCGATGGCAGACACTTAACAACTGAGCCACCCAGGTGCCCCAGCATGAGAGATTCTTAGGAAGGGTAATAATTAAGCTGATGGTATTTTCCCTTCAAAGATACCACACTAAGACCTATAAACCTCATGCATGAGGATATCTTCATAGTCATCAGCAAAGAGAAGGGCCATCCACGTCACTTCATGGATAAGCAAATTGAGACCACAAGACTTCTGGAAGCTGTTTTCCCAAAATAGTTTTGGTAATTATGAGGCTGAGCAATTTACCTTATTCAATACTCACAACAACTCTGTAATGATGATGATCATTATCATCATTCCCATTCTAGAAATCTAGGAACTGAAGCACAGAGAGGGGAGGGCACGGGCCTGAGGGCACCCGGCAGGGATGGAACGGAGCCAGGACGTAAGCCCAGGAGCAGGAGGATTCCTTAGCTCTACTGTCCCATCCAAGTGAACGGAGAAGGGGATGGGGAAGACGAAGGGGAAACTGAGGTGGGGGAGGAAGGGATGGGAAGCCAGGAGGTAGGTTGACAGCAGCGGAGAAGGGCCTGTGGGCCTCACAACTCACGGTAGCCAGCGTTGTTGACCACACAGTCCAGGCGGCCAAAACAGCGGACGGTCTCAGAAATGAGGGTCTGAGGACAAAGATGTCTTGTAAGCGGGCAGTGCGGGCACCCAGCCTTGAGGAGCCTGGACTCCCAAAAGCAAGGTGGGGAGGGGGAAGCTGGATCACAACCGAGGGGACAAGAACTATGGGAAGTGGGGACTCCCCCAAATCACCAAGCATGGGAGGAGAAGAGGAGACAGGAAGCCAGGGGGGCCAGAGCCCAGAGGGCTGGTTATATTCACACTGCAGAGACCCGGGGTCAGGGTCAGGGTGGGGGGCGCACATCAGAGAAACATTGGCTGAAGGGAAGGGCTAGGAACCCAGAGACAAGAGAAGGAAACTCTTCCAGAAGGAGATCCACTGTGAGGGACTTTTTTGTTCCAATCTCTGTGACAGGTGTGACAAGAGCCTTGAAGTAGTGAGAGAGAAAGGAGAACCTTCCCAGGAGACCCGGAACCTGGCCAGGGGGGAAAGCCTGGAAATGAGGCTGAGCCTAAACCTTTGGGACCAGGCAGGGACAGGAATAGCTCACCCTCACATCTTCCTCCCGAGTCACATCACAGAGGATAAAGAGAGTTCCAGCAAGTGCCTGCTCCAGGGCCCGACCCCTAGACTCTGCAGGGAGAGAAAGGCTGGGGACCTGGACCCCTGGGTCTGAGGGAGGAGGGGCTGGGGGCCTGGACCCCTGGGTCTGAGGGAGGAGGGGCTGGGGGCCTGGACCCCTGGGTCTGAGGGAGGAGGGGCTGGGGGTGAGGACTGAGAGACTCACTCACCATCTTTGTCACAGATAATTACTTGGGCGCCGTTTTGCACTGAGAATGGAAGAACAGGTTACCCCAGCCCAGACCTTGGCAAAGGCCTCTGCTGCCCTCTTGTGGCCTCCTGGAGTGGGGGCCCGTCTTCCCAAACGTCCCCCTCGTGACCCCAAAGTCTCATGATGATCCTCTAGATCAAAGGGCAGAAAACTTGACACATATTCTCGTTGGCCACTCCAGGTGCCTTCTGGGGTTCCTGAGCCCCCCATCCCTGGGTTCCAGAATAAACCCTAAACCTGCAAGTGCCATTCCCCAAGCACCCACTTTGTAGATACAATAACTGAGACCCAGAGAAAGAGAGTAACCATTTTTGGAGACCCGCCAAAAGCTCAGGCCCCAGGCTTATACTGCCTATCCTTTCATTAGCATCGCAATTTGGGTTTTAATAAGAATCTTGGCTCCAGTACTGAAGATCCCACACCCACTAGTTCCCAGGGTCCCTCTTCTCCTGGTCTCCAATATTCCCGAGCAGCCAGACCCCTACTCACCGAAGGCTCTCACGATCCCGGCTCCGATGCCGCGCCCGCCCCCTGTCACAACCACCACCTTCCCGGCATAGCGCGTTCCCGTCGCCATTCTGCTTCTGTCTGTTTCTCCCTGTCACTCGCTCTGGGCTTCCTTCCACCCCCAAAGTCGGGTGAGGCCGTGGAGCCGAACCATTAAATAGGGGCTGGATCCTGGAAGCCCGGCCCTGGGGGGGGCGTTGCCAGGAAGGCCAGAAGCCTGGAAGTTTGGCCTCGGCTCCCTCCTCCCTCAGAGCCAGGAGTCCGGGGCCCCCCCCCCACCCGATCCCCTCCTTCCTCAAACCCAGGATTTACGGCGTCCAGCCCCTTCCTCCCTCAGACCCAGGAATCCAGGCCCCAGCTCCCCCCGTTTCCAGACCTACAGGTTCCAGACCCTCAGGACACAGGAGTCCACGACTCCAGCTCTGTCCCGAAGAGACCACAGCGTCACAACCTCAGACAGACAGAGAGGAAGCTATTGACTAAAAGTTCAAAGTTTTAATCCGAATTTGGACAAGTGTTGGGAAAACCAAACTTTGGCCATAGAAACGTCTCCCTCCCCAAGCCAACGAGGATCAGACCACGCCCCCCGGCGCCCTGAGTGGCTCCAGATCGCGGGGCGGTTCCTCCGGGCCCCGCCCCCACGCCCCGACGGGCTGCGACGCTCGGGCGGGTCAGAAGCTGGACTGCAGCAGCGTGACTCGCAGAGGCCACGCCCCCTCCTCTTGGGTCATGGCGGGAGGGGCGGTCCCGGATTCCCACGTGGGCTCCCAGGAGGCGGGGCCTGCGCCGCGCCCACTACCTCGGCGGGAGAACCCGGCGGAGCGGGAATTAGCCACTGGAGATCTTGGGGGCGAGGTCACCTGGGGGGTGGGGTCTGACGGAGGCGGTGGCGCAGGGGGAAGAGGGTCTCCTCGGGAGTCCGAGTTTCCACCTGGACGGCACGAGTGGACGGTGAGAATGGCAAACTTTGGGACACAGGAGTCCGGACCCTCAGTCCCCTCTTCCCTCAGACCCACAGGCCTGGCCCCCCACCTCCACCCCCAGATCCAAGAGTCTTGAACCCCTGTCTCCTCCTGCCTGGGATCTGAAACTCCCCAAAACCCTCTACGGCACTCTCCCCATCCAGACATAGGATCCCAGCAGCTCCCAGAACCCTCCTGACCAGAACCAAGGATTCCAGGCTCTGGGTCCCTCTTCCCCAAAACCCAGGAGTCCAAGGTCCCCAGCCCCTTCTCACCCGTCATCATTCTGTGCCACTGCGATGCCTCCGTGGCCAGAGCTTGAGAGAGGCTGAGGACTCTCTCCCGGTGCCCTTCGGCTGTCGGCAAATAAGGGGTGGTATTCCTCGGACTGAAAAAGAAAAAGAGAGAGAGAGATCTGGGGGACGTCGACAATTAGCTAGTACTGCAGTGCCACGCGCGTCCTTCTGGGAGTTGTAGTCCTTAGGCCATGTCCCTAAAGGACTTTAAACAGGGTGTGGCCCTCATAGAGGCCTGCGCGCCTTGTGGGATTTGTAGTCTAGTCCTCCCTAAATTTCACCCGCTTTCCTGACGCAGGAGCGGAGTTTGATATCGACCCAGTTCTGCAGTTTGGGGAACTGCAGTTCTCATGTAGATCTAGGTGCTTTCTGATGCCCCAGGAAGTCAAGCATCTCTAGAAGGTTCTGCAGTCTGTACTTTAGTACTCAAAAGACAGCAATAATAATGCCTTCCCTTTGGAAATTGATTTCCTGCTTTTTGCCCCACTCTCCAGTTCTTTACCTGCTCCAGGATCCAGAGCTTCTGAGCCATTTGGGGGCTCCTGAGTGTCCCTGGACAGGCTGCAAAGGAATTGGGGCCTTAAAATTCCTCCTCACCTGGAAGTGCCCACGTTCTCATTTTGAGGGTGAAATGAAGGGGGCTCAGAGAGGGAATGAAATTGCCCCAGAGACAATGTTTAACTTTACATGCATTCCTGGAAAACAGCAAGAGTTAAGAAAATCCGTCCCCCCCGCCAAAACACATCCTTTTGCGCTCTGGGAAATGGCTTACCACAGAACCTCTCTTCCTTCATATGACCTCCACAGGACTGACAGATGATCACCCCCTTATTTACCTATGACAAGGCCAGGAACAGGCCCTCCAAATTCACAATTTTTGGCTCATAAGGAATTAGCTGAACTGCTCATCCCCCTAATACTAACTAGACAGAGAGATAAACATTTGGTGTTCAGCTGACTGAGACGCCTCCTGATTACAGAAATAATCCCAGCTGTAAAATCACCCTACCTATGACTTGTCTAATTACTCCCTAGGAAAGTCTCAGATGAAACCATCGGCCGAGAGACTCTTATCTTCAGATCTGGAAGGCTCTCCCCATTGCGACGGTATGAATATAATCATTTCCTTACTTGCTCATTTTTCCCCCCTTTGATAATACATAGTAACTAAAAAAAAAAAAAAAAAAAAAAGCAGGGCCCACAGTCCAGACCTGTGACGGCCATCCTGAGGGAAAAACATTGGTGAAGTGAAGAGGTCTCTGCCTCCCCCGCCCCCACCCCACAAGGGGAGCCACCAGCGTAGGTACACTTTGGGGTGAACTTGGAAACCCAGCTCTGGGTAAAGAGGGAGGGAAATCCCTATTTTACAGAGAGGGAAACTGAGGCTCACACTAGGAACAGAGGATCCACTACCACTCCACCGCCCCACCTTGCACCCTCTGTTCCCTTCACCCTCGGTTCTGTGTCAGGCTGGCGTCTGGCTGGGGACAGCGTCCCCCCCAGAGTGAGAAGCCGGGGCGAGGCCGGGCGAGGGAGAGGCCGTCCAAACTCCTGGTTTCTGCGTATTCTCTCCATCTGCTCCTGAGCACTCATCCGAGGCCGGGCGAGGGGGGCCTGGGGAGATGAGAAACACCTTGAGGCCCCAACCTGGGCCTCCTCTTTCTCTCTTCCCTGACCCTCTCGGCCTCCAGTGTTGCGCTTTCCAGTAAGTTCATCACTAGACTCAGAAGGATCTTTCTGCAGCCAGAGCTGAGGCCGTCCTCCCATGCCTCCAAGCACCCTCAGGACAAAGGTGTTTGAGGCCCTACCCGCCCCCCTGGCCTCATTTCCATCTGCTGCCCTGTTCGAATCCAAAGCCACAGCCTAACAAACACCCACATGTCCTGGACATTCCCACCTTCCTCACACTGGTAATTAGGAGCCGGGTTGTCAACTCTGGGTTCCTTGTGATGAAAAACAACTCTGAGCTTAGACGGAAATGCAGGAGGAGGGCGCCTGGGTGGCTCAGTTGGTTAAGCGACTGCCTTCGGCTCAGGTCATGATCCTGGAGTCCCGGGATCGAGTCCCGCATCGGGCTCCCTGCTCAGCAGGGAGTCTGCTTCTCCCTCTGACCTTCCTCCTTCTCATGCTCTCTGTCTCTCATTCTCTCTCTCTCAAATAAATAAATAAAATCTTAAAAAAAAAAAAAAGAAAATGCAGGAGGAATGAGATGCATTCACTAAATTGTCAAGAGGATACGTTTGGGTTGGCCTTTGAGAGGGCTTTGTGAGCGCTCTCTTGCTCCCGAAACCAGATGGATGACACAACAAGGACAACACCATAACGCCATGTGATAAGTGGAGTGGGCGGCCACAAGACAAGGACCTTCCAGAAGCTAGGACGGAGGCCTGAAACAGATCCTTCCCCGGCACCTTCAGAGGGAGCACAGTCCCGCTGCCACCTCCATCATGGACCTCTAGCCTTAAGAACTTAAAATGCAAGAGGACAGAGATAAATCAAAGAAGAAGAAGAAAAGGGGCGCCTGGGTGGCTCAGTCTTTAAGCATCTGCCTTTGGCTCAGGTCATGATTCCGGGGTCCTGGGATCAAGCCCTGCATGGAGCTCCCTGCTCAGCGGGAAGCCTGCTTCTCCCTCTCCCACTCCCCCTGCTTGTGTTCCCTCTCTCAGTGTGTCTCTCTCTGTCAAATGAATTTAAAGAAGAAGAAGAAGGAGAAGGAGGAGGAGGAGGAGAAGGAGAAGAAGAAGGAGAAGAAGAAGAAGAAGAAAAACCCACTAAAATGAAACCAGAACTCTGGAAAGAATCCCAAGGGTGTGGCTGGACACCCGTTTGCTGAGAGATTAGACATGTGACGTGGGGATCCAGGAAATCAGCTCAGCAGAAATGCCACCAGCCTGAACTGAAGGGGACAGACTGGGGATGAAATGCAGGAAGGTTGTCATTCGGGCAGGAACCAGGCCAGGCCGACAGATCTCTCCTGCTGCAGACATGTGTCATCCTTCAGGAGACGGGGGCCATGTGGACACAAACGCATACAGCAAGAATGCCAGGGGACACCTGGAGTTCTCTTGCCACCAGTCAAGGGACTATATATAAGATGCCTGGGAACAGACCCTTCCCGGGTGTCTTCCGAAGGAGCATGATTTTGGACTTCTGGCCTACGACCCGAAGACAATCCATTTGTTGTCTCAACAAACAAAACCAGAGGGAAGAGAACCCTTCGCTGCAGCCTCCTACTAGAAGATTTTAGGGAGCCGGCTTGGGATCAGCTGCCTGGTATAAGGTCAGTTTACTCTGGTTGGTTCTGATCTGGGCAATTGTGAGTCACAGGTCCACCTGCTGTAAAAATGATGGCCCCTGTATATTGACCCTATATTTTTTCTTCCCAGTGGGCCAGACCATTGGCCCCAAGCCGCCATCACCAAATTCCAAGGTTCACACACCCACTTGTTTTAGACACAGCCCAAGTAGGCAGATAATTGTAGCCATTTACAGCCTGCCGGCTTTGAATCCTCCAGGAAACAGGAGCTCCATCCCAGGACCCCGAGATCATGACCTGAGCCAAAGCTCCCAGTCCTAAACACTCCTGCCTCCGGAATCCAGCAATTTCGGAACTCCCCATGGTAGGACATCGGCTCTCCGCTTTGCTTGCGGAGACTGCATCTTACGAGAATAGGTCTGTCTTAAGCAAGTCATACATTCAGCTTTGCCTCCAACACAGACTAGCAGCCTCTGTCGGGATCACCTCCATGCTGTTGCACATACAGCTTGCACCCTCTGTCTGAAGGACCATTTTCTGCATGGCCCACATCTTTTTTTCACTCATCTGGACTCAGCTTCCCAATTGTTAAAAAAAAAAAAAAATTTAATTTTTAAGTAATCTGTACGCCCAATGTGGGGCTCGAACTAACAACCCCAAGATCAAGAGTCCCATGCTCTACCAACCAAGCCAGCCAGGCCCCCCAACTTCCCTATCCTTTAAAAGGCTTCCTGATGCTTTGAGTCTTATCCCTGTCGGTTATGTAGGATTGGATTTGTATCTCTCTCCCATCAGACGGGAGCATCAGGTTTAATTCTTGGCTGGACCCCCAACCCCTCCCACAGGGCCTAGACCCCAGCAGGCCTCTATATGCTGAGCAAATAAAGGGATTTGAGATTTCTTCCTGCAGCTACCACCCCTCAAAGCTCAGGGGAGAAGGGAGAAATGGCAGCTCCTTGGCCCTCCTAACACACTGCTTGGATTGGTCATCTGCTTATGTCTTCTTTGTGGGCATCAGAATGGTCCTGCCAAGACCAGAAGCCAAGCTTTTCCTGCAGGACCCCTCTACCAGCTTTAGGATGGGGGGAGCCATAGAAAAATAGAGGTCGTGATGCAGAGGTTCATCACCCAGCAAATTCAGCTCAAAAGCGTAGATCCTTGGGGTGCGTGGGTGGCTCGGTCGGTTAAGCGTCTGCGTTCGGCTCAGGTCATGATCCCAGGGTCCTGGGATCAAGCCCTGTGTCCGCCTCCCTGCTCAGTGGGGAGCCTGCTTCTCCCTCTGCCCCTACCCCCAACTCATGTTCTCTCTCTCCCTCTCTCTCGATAGCTCGAGGTAGCATTAAGTGGAGAAATTCAGGTTTCATAGGGTACGCATGGGGAATCCACAGGGACATGGAAATTCCAAAGGCAGTCGGGCAAAATGAGGTTATGTATATCGTTCTGAACCAGGGAGAAGGGGGCAGCGGTCTGGGACTTCAGGGGAAAGGAAAGGAAAATCACACTTCACAGGGTGATTAAAAGAGCAGAGGTTTAGGAATTAGATGGTTGCCCTGTCCTACAGATGGGTCACTCAGATAACATTTATCTCAGCTAATAACCTTTCATCTGGGAAAGACCCCCAATCTAGATTCTTCTATGTAGTTAGGGGAGGGGCAAAAGTTTCTCTTGAGCCCGTAGGGTCTCAACTACCTTCAGCTCAGAATAATCATCGTGCCGAAGCCGAAGTGGCCCATCTTGGGGTCCCTCAGCTGCTATACAGTTCATTGCTGATCTTCAACAGTGTATGTGTATCAGGGACCAAGAGATTCCAACTGGTTTGCTCAATTAAAACGAGACCTCCCTGGTCCCAGGGTCCTGGGATCGAGTCCCATATCGGGCTCCCTGCTCCGCGGGAAGCCTGCTTCTCCCTCTCCTACTCCCCCTGCTTGTGTTCCTGCTCTCACTGTGTTTCTCTCTGTCAAATAAATAAATAAAATCTT